CGACAGCAAACAAAGCTAGCACGAGGTGAATCGCATCCTTCCTTCCTTTATTTTCACTCTGATTCTTACACTTTCTGTTTCTCTTCACTTTCTGCAAGACAAAGGACTTCCTATGATGTTACAATTTAAAGTTCATTGGCTTATGTGCAAGTATTTCAAACTTAGGGAGTGAAGTGCACGGGATGCAGAGTACATAATGCCCTTCGTGCTTCACAAATAATAATTCTATGTATACAAGTATATCCGTAAAGGGAAAGGAACATCGAAGGGAGCGACTAGAGCAAAGACGAGGAACGGAAGAATCGCCTCCTTCAACGCCGACAGCAAACAAAGCTAGCACGAGGTGAATCGCATCCTTCCTTCCTTTATTTTCACTCTGATTCTTACACTTTCTGTTTCTCTTCACTTTCTGCGCTTGATCTGGAATTCATTGAAGAAGAAATGTTGGATCTGATTTTGATTGAGAGAAAATCACTGTTCTTTCATCTGTTTCTGGTGTTGATTGAAGAAGCTGTATCCGATTTGGTGTTAATTTTAGTGTTAATTTAGAGAATTTCTCTGTTTTTAATCGTTTTTTAGTGTTGATCTGATCTTGATTGAAGAAAAAGCATCTGAGATCTTCCTTTCATTTTTCTCTTGTTTTCTAGGAAAACACACGCATTCGCATGTTTTGGTAACACTGATTCTTGAGGGAGTTGTATAGGGACTAGAAAGTTTGAGATGCAATCTGTTGTTCTATAGGTAAATCTGTAGTTTTGCACATTGAGAGCGTTGTGTTGTTTAAACCTGATTCCTGGATGTTGCACCCCAAAAGCTAGCTATTGGGGTGGGAGAGTCCAAAGCCTTATAAACCCCACACCAGAATCCCGTACTTCCCATATGCTATTAAAATCACCTTGTAATTGCACTGTACCATTTCACCACGCCCCTAACTCTACCACCCTCAGCGAGCACTACCATTATTTACAACTGGGAGACATGGGGTCAGCTTTGATGCCAATTGGTAAACCTTGGGACAGCCACACCTTAAAATTAAAATTTCATTTTCAGGTGTGGTTGGTTTTGTTCTCCCTAGGTCTGTATAAGAGTGAAATCGAGGAGATTGAGATATGAATTTTTTCAGCTTTGAGCTAGCTGCTTTGTTGAGAAACTTGAGGTGTGAAGCTGTAAGACTCAACAGAGCTGATGAATCTGAATATAATGATCTTCTCCTGTTATTATCACCATCATCACTGCCATAATTTGCATGGCCTGAGTAACATGGCAAATGAAAATTGTTATAGAGCACTTTTCTGAGAGTAGATAATGCTTGAATGACAGTGTCCCAGTACTGTATTCCTTGAGTTGATTTTAATTCATCTTGAAAAATCAGCCATAGTATTAGGGGAAGTGAGTGAATTTTTTTACTTTTTGGTGGTTTAATCATTTCCCATGGTTTGACATTGCTCTAATCTTTCATGCTGTTTCAGTTGCTATTTGGTTGAGCAGTTCCAAAACATCATGTCAGGTACAGAGGATGTCAAAGAACAAGAACAGGTAGCTGGAAATGTTGCTGAGTCTGAGAAATCCATGCCATCAGCTCAAGAGGAGGTTGCTTCCATGACTCTGCTGTATTGTGTGGGCTTTGATTAGTCAAATATTGACAATGGATAAATGTTTTTCTCAACAGTTCTTTTAATTGCAGTTAATTCCTTTTTTTGTTATTTTTCTAGGAGGCAGCTATAAAGAAAAAATATGGAGGAATCATGCCCAAGAAACCGCCACTCATCTCTAAGGTAATTTCTGATTGTAATTGTAAAATTTGTTAGTATTTTGTGAATTTTATCTGAACCTTTTATTTTGATGAAGGACCATGAGCGGGCATACTTTGACTCTGCTGATTGGGCACTTGGAAAGGTATTCTCCTATGCACTCTCCTTTGAGGTTGATAATCC